GCTCCCCCTCATGCATAGCAGGTGCACACTCCACAGCATTCTTGTACGTGCTGAGGCACATTCCTTCTTTTCTGAGTACCCCAGACAGAAGGGAGCTTGCTGACATGTGTCTGCCTGGGGCACGTCTGTGACCCGCCCCTCCCTTCTCAACCTGTGACCTCCATGATACACGAACAGTGAGCAGATTTCCTACCTAGAGGGTGTATCAGGAAACCACCGGTGAAGTCAACAGAAATAGAACCAGGTTTTTACAGAGCCTGAAACTCACAGAATTGGAAGCCTGGGTGACACAGATAGGGCAACAGAATAACTCAGCTGTTTTTCATCAGTGGAAAGACCGACGTGGGATCCAGGCAGCTGTTTCCAGTTCTGTGTCTGCTATGAAGTGGCTGTCCTCTGTGTGTTAAAATGAGAGGGGCTGACTGACAGTCATTTTGTAACAAACATAACTAGCTTTATCAGTTACCGAGTATGTATTCTAAGCTAGGCAGTGAGCTAAGTGGTTCACACACATAATCTTGCTGAACCTTTCCAACAACCCTCTGAGGCAGGCAGTCATTGGTCCCATTTTACAGATGATGAAATTAAGGCCCAGGAAAGGTTAAGCAAGTTGTACTATATTGCAAATACAGTACAATTATAAATGGCAAAACCTGAAGGCAATCCAGGCTAGTCTGAGTTGGTTCAGGTGGCCCACAGTGGAGGGACCCTGTCCATTATTTATCAACAAGAACAGCACCTTGGGGCCCAGCCTGTGGCCTGGTGGTTAAGGGAACAGGATCCCACATGGCTGACTGCATGCTGTGAGCCCTGGACCTGTGTCTTGATCATACCAGGTGTGTGTACATGCATGCCCAAAATCCCAAGAGGAGAAGGGATTGCAGCATGGCCATCCACCCTAGAGGGAGTATGATTTCTCACTTTTTCTGTCTCTCTCCAGCAAACACATGAGCCCTAGAGCAAAACTAAAAAATTCTAACTATATATGATTTATGTTACTTCTCTTTTCCTATTTTATTTATCTGTTTATTTACTTTTACAGGCTCAGTTAACCCCAGGCATTACTTATCTATTGCTATCCATTTTTTTTCTTCTACCAAAGGGCACAGCTAATTGTCCTAGATAAGCACAGAAGAGAAAGACATCTAGGACACCTAATTTATATTTTATTTTCATCTTAGAACTATTTCCCTTTTGTCACTAGCAACCTACATTCTGAAGACAAAACTTCAGATAGCTTCTAGTAAGTGCTACATAAACAGCAATAAATAATGATTCATGATTGTTATGTTTGTATAACGACCATATTAGAAAAATTCCAACTCTGTACTCTTAACTGTGCTACAAGGCAAATCTCTTCTTTAAAAAAAAGCTATAAGAATAGGAACTTTGGATTATACAAAATATTATTTGCTGTTTTAATATGAAAACGATAAGTGCATTTGAGTGTACTTATAGGGGCATTTTTTAATAGTCCTACCTTATAGGACACCATGCCCTATAATAGTCCCATTCTAGACGGACACCACTGTTTGCCAAATAAGAAAATGCGAGGTATACTTTGCTTCCTTCTACCTTCCTCTGAATTTTGATCTCTTTCACAAATTCAGAAGGTTTTCTTTGCAGCACTTCTTCATCTTTCAGGTTATTCTCAGTATTCCTTATTATGTGTATGGCAGGCTGTTTCTTTAATGCCCCTGGTCAGGTCACCTAGGGGATATTTCTTTGACCAGTTTCCTCTTCCATAGGCCTCAAACTCCTTGTGATTTCTGACTAGAGGGAGTTATTTGTTCCTTAAGGGAAAATTGGCAAAAGAGAAGGGAATGAATCCTGTTCAGCTGCCAGCTGTGTGCCAGGTGCTAACCTGGGGGTGCTCTGCAAGAGCAGTCTTTCAGGAAGTGAATTCACTTCGCCTCAGCTTCATTTTCAGAGCTTTATCCTGGCTTTCTGAGACCTAGGATACAAAAATAATTAAAACATGGGACCAGCAGTTGGCGTAATGGCTATGTTGCTGGACTCCCATGTAGTAAACCACAGTTTGAGTCCCAGACCCGGTGGCTTAAACTCTCGCCGGACGCATGTGCGTGCATGCCCAAGATCCTGAGAAGAGAATGGAGAAGGGATGGTGGCGTGGCCGTCCCACCTTGGGGATGATTTCTCACTTTCTGTCTCTCTGTCTCTCTCTTTCTGGCGAGCGCACATGCTTTTTTAGAGCAAAAACCTCTAAAAAATAGTAATAATAATTAAAACACACAATAGAATGATGATTTCAGAGATTTAAGAAGAAAAAAACTTATCTATATCCAGTTGCCAACTTGATCAAACCCCACTAAAATTAGAAATATTTTTCTAGCAACTTCAAACATGGATAAGAATCACAATGATAATAATGATAGGAAATTCCCAGATGGTCGGAAGGTACAAATCTCATGTTGGTTTAAAATAATCCCACTTATATTTATTTTATACACACTTTCAGTATTTTAATTTTGAGAAATAAATTCAGAAGGGTACCAAGAATATGACAACACCTGCAAAACCTCTTAATTTGGCTTTTACTAATATTTTGCTGTATTTACTTCATCTTTTTTATTTTTTAAAGAATTAATTTTATTTATTATTATCATTTGTGTGTGTGTATATGATATGTATATATATATATATATATTAATTTGACTGGTGAGAGACAGAGAGAGAGAGAGACAGATGGGGAAAGTGAGAAAACAAAGAAGCAAGTCACCGAGTCCAGGACTCGAACCACATTTGGCCATGTGGGAGTCCAGTGCTTTAGCCACCATGCCACCTGCTTTCCCCTTTTTATAAGTAGCTTTACTGGTACTGTTCGAGTTTTCTGTACCGCTTACCACTTGTGTATTTTATCTTCAGACCCCAGTGGCAACTACTATTATGAATTTTTTATGTCATGCCAGTCATTATTTAACATTTCTGTGGGGAAAAGCATGGCTCTGCCTTTCAGACTTAAAACCGTAGTTTTGCTCCCATTAGTTCTTATGCAAACCCACTTGTTATTTCAAATTCTCTAACTATTGGGCCGAAGCCCTGCACCTTCTAAGTAGGGTTTTTGCTTGCAGCGAGCATGTTTGCTCTCTGCTCAGAAGCACTGCTGAATGGAGTCAAAAGCACTAGGATTTCACATTTGTAAGTGATAAGAGGGGGAGGGGGTGGCTTTCAGAGATCGTATTTCAAGTCCAGCCCTGGTTTGGAGGTGTGTGGGAATGGACGCAAAGGAAAAGGAAAACACAGCTGAGCCGCATTGTAACTCTTCCTGTAGAACCTGTTCAGGTCCAGAGTGAGTAAACCTGGGCAGAAATGTCTCCCTGAAGCAGCCTCCGGTGAAATCCATGCCTGGATTCAAAGCTGCTTACTTCCCAGGAAGTATTGTCGGATTCCAAACTGCCACCCTCTACCCCCCCCCCCCCATTTAAAAAGATCTCTCTTGTGGGAAAGTCTGCAAGCGAGGACTTTGCTCTCCTCTCCCTAATGGGAGGAAGGAGTAGAACTGGGAGGTGTCAACCTGATAGAGTTGCTGATGTCAGTGGTGTGTCAGCCCCGTGGGAGGCTCAGTTTGTGAAATTGAGTTACACCTAAGTGTCTTATGAAACTCGGTTCAGAACGCACCAGAGCTGCCATCTGGGAAGGGGGAGGTCGAAAGAACCCTGGGCTTTTCCTTCATGTTTCTGTCCCATTTTTGGAACCTCTGGATTTAAAGAAATGAAAGCTTCAAGCCTACGGACATTTTAGGAAATCGGTAGGTAGTTGTATACTTCCACTAATTCCCCTTTGAACCAGAGTGAGTGTTGTGGTTACAGACAGCTGCGTGTTCAGACCGCGCAGGGCTGTGTTCCTACTGTGTGCTGGTTCACTTTGGTGTGTTTGAGTTTGGGGGTCCAGTCTGAGCACTTTAATCTCACGGCTGCATATGCACAGGAACCTTCAGCTCATTCTGCTGTTTCTCATGAGGTTTACATGTTTGTAAAAAGTTTTGGTTCCTGTACTTCAGGAAATGGTTTTGCTGATAGTCCGTTCAGAGAAGTGACTATTACGTCGGCAATTAAAAGTGCTCTTTCTACGCTTCTTTGAGCATAATTTAAGAATCTAGCCAAAATCTTAATGGCATGAAATTGTTACTGTTATTTCCCTACTCGTCAAGACTAAAGATAGAGAAGAGAGATTTGACTGCGAAGTCCAGCTTGGGAGGACAAACTAAGACTCAGGCTACTCTAAAACTAGTAGAAAGGGTTGGAAATGAGCCAAGAAAATACTGCAAGGAATGAGTGCTTTTTACCCAATTACGTGGTTTTTCAAATGCATATTTCTAGTAAAGCTTGTTTCCCCCACCCAACTGGCAAATGCCATTGCATGCAGCAGTAGATTAGGAGTGAAAATATAGAGGTTGGATCCTATTTACAGAAATGGGGCTCTCTGGCTCCAAAACTCAGAGGGCAGCTCCAACCTTCCTGCTACCCTTAACCCTACCCCAATTCCTGGTGTGAGGTTTCTGTGGCATTTAAAAGAACTCTTCCGTCACTGAGAATCAACCCCATCTGGGGGTTCCGTTTTGCTTTCACTTTGCATTCTTTTGAAGTTTAATCTCTCATCTTTTTGAAGCGTACCTTTGAATATCTTTCCATTTAAATATGAAATCAACATCTTTGAGCACAAGGCTCTTGCTTACTGGAATCTGCAGATTTCCTTTTATACCGTTGAGTCAGAGGAAAAAGAGCATGCTTATTCCTCTACAGATGCTTCATTTTACTGATCAAAGGAGATTTATTGAGGTGAAGCTTAGCTGGTAAAGATGACTGTCAGCCGATGGAATCAATGGTTTTAGGTTGTGGATTTGTAAAAAGACTGAATCACAGAGCCGTTCTTAACTCATCAATGTATGTTCTTGGGAACTCAAAATCATTGGATTACTACTAAGTTGATTAATTAGTGAAAAATAAAAATAAAGCTTTGTGGCTTTTCTTTTTAAATAGTTATTCCAATGGAAACAGCTGGAGAATTTATATTTCCGTGAGAAAAAATTTGCAGTTGAAGTTCACGATCCACGAAGGTAAGGATCAAAGCCTTTGAAAGGTTCCAGTCACTGTATGAATAATACTGCTGTGGACATTCATGTTTAAAATTGTATGTGAACATATGCTTTTATGTCTCTTGGGGCTATACTAGGAGGGGAATTGCTGGCCCAAATGGTAACCCATTGAAGATCTGCCTGACTGCCCAAGTGCCGGGCCATTTTACATTCCTGCCAGCTGTGTATGTGGTTTTTGCTTCTCCACATCCTCACAACACTTATTTTAAGTTGTGCGTGTATGTGTGCATGTGTGTGTGTGTTTTATATCCTGGAGGCAGGAAGTACTCTCTCCTGGGTTTTTGATCTGCAGTTCTCTCATGCTGAAGGATGGCTCAGCATCTTTTCATAGACTCACTGACCATCTGTATCCCTTCTTTAAAGAAGTGTCAATTCAGATCCTTTGCTCGCTTTTAATGTTGGTGTTCCTGGTTATGTCAAAAACACACAAACTAAAACAGTGGCCAAGCTGTCAACAGCAATTGAGGTCAGGATGTAGACTCTTCGAGCTTTTAAAAGAAACACTTGGTCAGTTCTCAGTGGTTGCTTTTCAGTCCCATTCAGTGTTTATGGATGTTTGGAGGTCAGAGGGATGGAAGGAACAGCTGTGACAAAAAGATGACCCAGAGAGATTAGATTCCTATAAAGAACATGAGTCCCCTCTCCCCTGCTACCCACCACACACAGTCTGTCGGCCTCCAACCCTTCCTGCTTGCGCCCCTCCTCTTTCTCTGTCTCTCTCTTTCTCTCACTTTCCTGCTCTCACCTCCCCCCCCCACACACACACCTTCTTTTTTTCTGATGCACAAACAACACTTTGGACCGTTTTTTGGACTTGCGTTTTTCAGCCAACATCTCTATGTTCTTCCTCTGATCATTTTGAGCCAGCCAACTCTACCTTGACCTGAGATGCTCTTTCACCTTGTGGCCAGCGCTGACCTCATAGGTCCTGCTTGCTATGTCTTTACAACATCTCTTCCACCCATGATGGCTCCATCCTGACGGTTTCTAACTAAATGTTTTCGTACAGCCTCTGTTCGACTAATTCTTTACCCACTTTCGAGTGTGCGTGTACATGGTTTTTCATATGCCAATTGATACAGGAAGAGATGACCTAGGCCTGATTAATTTTGTCATATAAGGAGAAAATCAGAAACTTGGCCCCCATCAGCTAAAGAATGTGCACAGCAGGAAGACAGTGAAGAGGGAGAGGCTTTGTTAGGACACCGTTCACTGGGTGCACTTTGTTTTGTGCTGGGCCAGAGGCAAATAACTCAAGTGCTTTCCTTAATCTTCCAGGATTTCAGTGTCAAGAAGAACCTTTGGGCAAAGTGGTCTCTTTGTACAAACGTGGTATGCGAACTCTTCGCTCATCAAGTCCATCTGGGTAATGGCAATTAGTCAACATCAGTTTTACTTAGACCGGAAGCAAAGCAAAGTAAGTAACTAGCTTTTCTTTTTCTAAACTTTATTTATTTATTTATTTATATTTGACCAAAGAGGGACAGAGTGAGAGAGAAAGGGAAAGTGAGAAAGCAAGCCGCCAGGTCCAGGACTTGAACCATAGTCAGCCATGTGGGGAGTCCAGCACCCTTAACCACTGTGCCACCTGCCAGCCCCAGTAACTAGCTTTTCTATGGGGACAAATCTGTCTTTTTTTTTGCTTTCTGTTCAGAAAATAGCTCCCTGAGAAACGATGCAACCACATGCATTTCTGTTCTTTGGATTGTTGTTTTGTTTTACCTTTTAACTTGACTACTAATCATTTCCATTTTTTTAGATATTTGAAAGATGGGCAATATATAAGCTGACTGAAAAGTTATAAGATTGGCCAACTTTTTAGTATGCCTATATGTATAAAGTGGTGATGTTGAGGACCAGCATTTAGCGTAATAGCTATGTTGCTGGACTCCCATGTAGTCCACTGCGGTTTGAGTCCCGGACCTGATGGCTTAGACTCACACTGGGCACGTGTGCGTGCAGGGCCCAGGTCCCAATTATGTAGAATGTGATACATAATATATTGATGGACCACTTCATTGACTAACGTAAAATTAAAATAATTTAGACTGACTTTATCACAACTCACTTGTTTATCTCAAGATAGTCATTGTATATGTGGAAAACCAAAAAAAAAAAAAAAAGAAGCAACCTCTAAATAAATAAATAAATAAAGTGATGATGTTGTTGGTGACTTTTTTTTGGGGGGGGGGGGATTTTTGCTATAGGGCGTATGTGCTCGCCAGAGAGACACAAAGTAAGAAATCACTCAACAGGGAGGATGGCCATGCCACAATCCCTTCTCTTCCATTCTCCTCTCAGGATTTTGGGCATACACACACACGTGCCTGGTGTGAGTTTTAAGCCAGCAGGTCTGGGAACTGAACTTTGGTCGACAACGTGGGAGTCCAGCAACATAGCCATTACACCATCTGCTAGTCCCAATGGTGACATTTTAAAGCGATGGCTTGTGAACCATAACATTAGAGAGAATTGTGTATAGTTGTTATAACACTTCAGTGCAAAGCTTGTTTTTCTTTTATCTTTTCTGAAGATTGTTATTTTAATATTAAAATTCTAAGTTGTCCTCTGTTGACATTTTTATTTATAGTAACTTGATCATTTATTAATTTGAGATGTGTTTAATTGAGTTAATTCCATTTAAATGTCATTGATCTTTTAGGCAAAAATTCCTTCTGCCAGGAGTTTAGACGATATTGCAATGGATTTGACAGAGACAGGAACACAAAGGGTCTCCAAACTGGTGACATTGGAGGCAAAAAGTCAGTTCATCATGGCAAGCAATGGCAGTTTAATCTCCTCAGGTAACACTGAGACCGGATGTGCCTGCTACCTTTATCTTGTTTAGTGTTTTGTTTTGTCATAAACCACTTCCAAATGCGTTTTTAACCCATTAATTAAGGAATAAGTGTATCAACACCTACATATGCAGCAGTTTTGAATAAAAGTTTAAAGTCATTTTTAAAAAAAAAATTTTCATTGCCAGTGGGCATATGAGCCCCCCAGAAAGTGAGGGTGACTGAGCGCACACTCCCCAGGGTGTGTGGTCATGCTGTAGTCCTTTTCCTCGGTTTCTCCATTTGATTAGGATTTGGGCATGCATGCACACACACCCAGTGTGTTTTTTAAGGTGCTACCAAAGCCAGAAATCGAACCATGGTTAGCCATGTGGGATCCAGCTTTCTTTGCATAGCACTTAACCACTGCACTACAGGGTTGGCCCTGATAACTACTCTCATGCTATAGGTAACAATAGATGTAAAGATCGTCCCTCGGTGTGACTCGAGAGTATATTTTTCCCCCATAAATTCTATCACTTCTTCCCTCATTAGTTTTTGATGGAGGTAATTGTCTAAGTCTCTATGTAATATAAAAATGTTATACAAACATAATTTTAAGCAGTTTAATCTCCTCAGGTAACACTGAGACCGGATGTGCCTGCTACCTTTATCTTGTTTAGTGTTTTGTTTTGTCATAAACCACTTCCAAATGCGTTTTTAACCCATTAATTAAGGAATAAGTGTATCAACACCTACATATGCAGCAGTTTTGAATAAAAGTTTAAAGTCATTTTAAAAAAAAAAATTTTCATTGCCAGTGGGCATATGAGCCCCCCAGAAAGTGAGGGTGACTGAGCGCACACTCCCCAGGGTGTGTGGTCATGCTGTAGTCCTTTTCCTCGGTTTCTCCATTTGATTAGGATTTGGGCATGCATGCACACACACCCAGTGTGTTTTTTAAGGTGCTACCAAAGCCAGAAATCGAACCATGGTTAGCCATGTGGGATCCAGCTTTCTTTGCATAGCACTTAACCACTGCACTACAGGGTTGGCCCTGATAACTACTCTCATGCTATAGGTAACAATAGATGTAAAGATCGTCCCTCGGTGTGACTCGAGAGTATATTTTTCCCCCATAAATTCTATCACTTCTTCCCTCATTAGTTTTTGATGGAGGTAATTGTCTAAGTCTCTATGTAATATAAAAATGTTATACAAACATAATTTTAAGCATACACCCCACCCCGCCCCCCGAAATCACTGCCCCTAAGCTCTTCTTCAGTAGAAATTCTAGAAACTCTTTTCACTACCTCTGTGTAACTTTACTAAAATGATTTTTCCCAACTCAACCCATCGTCCACTTGTGATCTGAAGCATGACCTTCTTTGCACAGAACACGCCTTTGCCTTGCTTGCTAAAGGAACATTCTGAAACAACCATCTCAACTGTCTTACCTTCTCTCCTGCTCAGAAGAACGAAATTTTTCTTTGGGTGTGTCTAAAGCGTTACGCATTTTATCATTGTCTCCAAAATGACTGAGCCAATGTGCAAAAGGCACATTTTATTACCAGGCTCTGTGTGGTGCCCAGAAGCATGAGAAAATGTTCTCCAATTTCCTTTTATTATGTTTTGAAACAAGGAGTAAAGAAATAAACGACCATTTAATAGCAGGGTTGGCTTTAAAATCCTTTGTTCTTTAGAAAGGAAGGAAGCATGCCTTGTATAAACCTCTCTTACCCCACCTCCATCCCCCCACCCCCCAGGTTCTCAAGACTCAGAAGTTAGTGAGGAACAGAAGAGAGAGAAAATCCTCGAACTCAAGAAGAAGGAAAAGCTGTTGCAGGAAAAACTCCTGAAAAAAGTCGAGGAGCTTAAGAAGATTTGTTTGCGGGAGGCTGTGAGTGTCTTTTGCTTTTCTGGGCTCCTCACATCATGTTTGACAGCTCCGGCTGGTGTCAGTTATCCATCCACTTTTGATTCTATCCTGTTTTCCAGGAGATCACTGGCAAAATGCCAAAGGGGTATCCACTGAACATAGGCGAGAAGCCTCCTCAGGTAAGAAGGCGTGTAGGGCCTGCGTACAAGCTGTAGGGACTGCGTTCAAGTTAGATGACAGCTCGCTGCCTAGCGAAGAGGTAGGAGCGCCGGCCCTGAGCCTCCTGGTCCCTGTGAGACAGGACAGCTGCTGTGGAGTGTAGCAGGCTTGAACCATGCAGTCGGCCGCCCATGTGGGCCTCCAGGACTTTAAACACCATGCAACCAACTGGGCCATTTCTTATTACTTTACTCCCCAAATCATAGCAAGCATGAAATGAACCTCAGGTATTTTTATATTGAGAAAGTATTGTAAGAATTAAGAACGCCAGCATTTGAGTCTTTCATTTTAGAACTAAATAGCCTTTGGCCAATAGTTGAACCTCTCTAAAGTCTGTTAGGTCTCAGCTTTCTCATTTGCAGATGGAGATATGGGGGTTATGATTGAATTTCTGTCTGTGGGATGCAATGAGTATTAAATGAGATACATGTACAAAACTCAGCCATAATGAAAAGATGCATTAGCCAATGTAGAATGTACTTTCTCATTTCCATGTGATCAGCCAATATGGTTGTGCCAGGTTTCTTGTAGAAATTTAGCCATTTTAGGGACCGGCAGTTGGCATAATGGCTATGTCTCTGGACTCTCATGTAGTTGACCGCAGTTTGAGTCCCGGACCTGGTGGCTTTATTTATTTATTTATTTATTTATTTATTTATTTATTTATTTTTATAGCCACCAGATTCAGGACTTGAACCCTGGTTGGCCATGTGGGAGTGTCCAGCGCCTTAATCACCATGCCGCCTGCTGGTCCCCAACCTGGTGGCTTTAAATTCACACCAGGAGCATGTGCGTGTGTGCCCAAGATCCTGAGAGGAGAATGGAGGAGAAGGGATTGTGGCATGGCCATCCCCCCTGGGGGGTGATTTCTTACTTTCTCTGTCTCTCTCTGTCTTTCTGGCAAGTGCACAGGCCCGATAACAAAACCTCTCCAAAAAACTAAATAAATAAAATACATTTAGTTATTTTAGCTTTAGAAAATGATAGCTCTTTCCATCATTGATACAATGAACATTACTACCTACTGAGTGCTCACTCTGAACCCAGCTCTGAGCCTAACTGTACCCATGTATTATCTCATTTCATCTCAGCCCACTTTTATAAAGTAAGAGGTACCTCATTTTACAAGTGAAAAAAGGCCCAAGGCATTAAAATATTAAGCAGTGTATCCAGGATCATGTAACCAGGAAGCACCAGGAAGAGGACTCAAACCCAAACGTATCTGTCCCTAAAGCTTTGCATATGAATGTATGTACCTTCATGAGTCTTGGGTTAAGAATCTCTTCTTGAAAACTATAATCTCCACCCAACTAACTGAGTGAATGAAAGGCCATTCATTCCCTTGAAAAGGGAAGCACTTTGGACTAATGAGGAGTTCACGTTAAGATGGGCAAGTGATGTCTTGTTTTCTTGGAAAACGTTTGAGGACATCTATGCAGTAGAATTTGGGAAGATTTTATGCTCAAAGAGCACTTTGTATTTATTACCCAGTGCATGAGACAGTGACTAGATGTGTCCATAAAAATAAAACCGTATCATTGTACAAATACAGGATCCTGCCCTGCAAGACCTGGAAAGCAATTTCCTAATACAGCAAAAGCTGGTTGAAGCTGCAAAGAAACTTGCCAGTGAGCCAGACCTTTGTAAAACCGTGAAGAAGAAACGAAAGCAAGATTACACCGATGCAGTGAAAAAGCTTCAAGAGATTGAAAACGCCATCAACGAATACCGAATTAGATGTGGAAAGAAACCCAGTCAGAAGGTGACCGTTAACTTACCAGGTTAGTTAATACGTACTTGTTTTTTTTTTTTTAGTCCAGTAGTCTATAGTCTTGATAGCTTGTTGCTTTTCTAAGCCCATTCACTTAGTGAGAAACAGAAGAAGAAACCTAAATTTCTTAAGATAAAAATGGCTGGAACTTAAGTCTTACTAGTATAGAAACTTGATTGTCAGTGATATTTTACTGTTGTAATACTATTCTATTATTACATCACTTTAATTTTCAGTATGAAAATTTCGTGGTAATATCAATTCATGAGATAGATTCAGCTTTCACTTGACTGGTGTCCTTACAAGAAACACTTTGAGGTGTTTAGGGTGTTAAAGGAGCTAGGCCTTACCCAGTAGTTTCTGAAATACTTTTAATTCAGCAGACTGTGCATTTTCTTTTCTTCTCTCTCTTTTTTATTTTTTCTTTCTTTTTATCTTTTTTTTTTTCCTTAAGTTTTTTTCATAGAGCCCTTATGTTTGCCAGAGAGAGGGAAAGTGAGAAATCATTCCCCAGGGAGTGGAGATGGTCCCACCACAATCCCTTCTCCTCTCAGGATTTTGGGCATGCATGCACACATGCCCAGCATGATTTTCAAACCTTAGGTCTGGGACTCAAGCCCACAGTCAGCCATGTGGGTTCGGTGCCTTAACCTCCATGCCATCTCCTGTCCCCAGACTTTATTTTCTTAAGAACTTCTGTGTGTGGACAGAGAACGCAGTTAAAGGAAGATATTTATGGAAGCTATTTAAAGACAGGAATATATTGTCATGATACAATGTGAAATGCAGAAAGTACACCGATGCAGTGAAAAAGCTTCAAGAGATTGAAAACGCCATCAACGAATACCGAATTAGATGTGGAAAGAAACCCAGTCAGAAGGTGACCGTTAACTTACCAGGTTAGTTAATACGTACTTGTTTTTTTTTTTTTAGTCCAGTAGTCTATAGTCTTGATAGCTTGTTGCTTTTCTAAGCCCATTCACTTAGTGAGAAACAGAAGAAGAAACCTAAATTTCTTAAGATAAAAATGGCTGGAACTTAAGTCTTACTAGTATAGAAACTTGATTGTCAGTGATATTTTACTGTTGTAATACTATTCTATTATTACATCACTTTAATTTTCAGTATGAAAATTTCGTGGTAATATCAATTCATGAGATAGATTCAGCTTTCACTTGACTGGTGTCCTTACAAGAAACACTTTGAGGTGTTTAGGGTGTTAAAGGAGCTAGGCCTTACCCAGTAGTTTCTGAAATACTTTTAATTCAGCAGACTGTGCATTTTCTTTTCTTCTCTCTCTTTTTTATTTTTTCTTTCTTTTTATCTTTTTTTTTTTCCTTAAGTTTTTTTCATAGAGCCCTTATGTTTGCCAGAGAGAGGGAAAGTGAGAAATCATTCCCCAGGGAGTGGAGATGGTCCCACCACAATCCCTTCTCCTCTCAGGATTTTGGGCATGCATGCACACATGCCCAGCATGATTTTCAAACCTTAGGTCTGGGACTCAAGCCCACAGTCAGCCATGTGGGTTCGGTGCCTTAACCTCCATGCCATCTCCTGTCCCCAGACTTTATTTTCTTAAGAACTTCTGTGTGTGGACAGAGAACGCAGTTAAAGGAAGATATTTATGGAAGCTATTTAAAGACAGGAATATATTGTCATGATACAATGTGAAATGCAGAAAGATGAGATACAACATTGTAGCCACAGCGTAATCTCAACTTTGTATAAACATGCACACACAAAGACTGCTTGGGAAATGTTTCAAAATACTCATAGTTGTGGAATTTCAGTAACTAAATAGTCTCTGTGTGTGTCTATGACTTAAATATTCAAAAAAAAAAAAAAGTAAAATGATAAATCTCATTGAGGTCGACTTCAAGTCCAATTCGTTTTATGTATATATCACCATAGCTTTTTTTTTACCTTGATCATGTTTCTTTGATTCCAGACAATATTTTTCTTCCCATTTTAACATCTGTGAAAGTGCGAGAGTCCCTATGGTCGATGGTGCGTTACACAGTTATAACTGGCAGCACTTTTTTTTTCTTTCCTGGCACGTAGAATATTTACACATCTTAGATTTGATGAAATATGGGCATGGCATTTAGAATATACACCGGTTTCAGACATGTAATTTATAAAGTAGAGATACGGCTTTCGGAAATTGAACATACAGACGGAAAGGCACAAGTGTGAGTCGACTACAGCTGGAGAATTTAAGGCGGCTGTGACTCTGGTTGTAAAACCCAGTTGGCCTTGGCACCGGGCGCCATCTGGACCTACAGAGATGGGAGGTTGGCCTCGCACCTACCTCCCGTGGCCATTTGTTATGGCCTATTCATCCTCTAACTATGCAAGAATCAAGTGTTCCCCCTCACACTGACGGACATTTGGGCAGCAGATGGTGCCAGTGGTGGCGCATGTATCGGACAGATCTGTTTTGTTAGGAGTGCCAACAGCTGACTGTACTGGCACTGCACCGTCAGGCCCCACCGTGCGCCTAATTAAGAGATAGTCCGCTTGGCTCTGCCAGAGACAAACATTCGATGTCGAATGCAGAGATGCCCTTCACAATGGCATCGAGGTGTATATCTGCCTAAACCTCAGGGCTGAATAACAGAATGGTTTGCCAAAACCGATCAACACATCTGACCTGTCTCTTTATTATTAATAAATACATTATTGAACACCTAATGGGCACCAGTAATCGTCAGAGCATTATGGTCATTTCTAACCAGAAGCTATGTATAGGTACCAAAGGGAACAAGTATCGCTATTGGGTTGTCAGGAAAGTCATGATGCGTTTTGACATAGAAAACTATGTCAGGACTATTCCAGACAACCTAATTAATATTTACTGAGCATCTGTCATATGCCAGGAACTGGGCTTTGCCCCCATTATTTTAATGGCTGATCTCAGTGCTAGGTTATAGGTACTATCGTTATTCCCATTTTAGAGTAGAATCAAGTAAAACTTAGAGAGATTAAGTAATTTACACAAAGTCTCATAGCCAATTAATAGCAAAACTAAGATGCAAAGCCAGCTCTGCCTAACTCAGTGGTTCACAACCGGGGCAAGCATAAGGACATTTGGCATTGTCGGCAGACATTTCTGGTTGACAAAACTGAGGGAGATCAAGGTGCTTCTGACATCTAGTCATTAGAGACTTGGAACCCTGCTATGTCCAGAGCAGCCCTCCCAAGTCAAGAATTACCCAATGCAGGCTGTCAGTGTGCCACTGTGGAGAACCCTTGGTCTAATTGAAAAGCCCATACACCATGAAGTGCCTGTACTCTACGAAACAAGAAGAGGTTAAAAGTTGTATTCACAGGGGGACCAGCAGTTAGCGTAATGGCTATGTCGCTGGATTCCCACATAGTCGACCGCGGTTCAAGTCCCGGACCCGGTGGCTTAAACTCAAGCCGGGCACATGTGTGTGCATGCCCAAGATCCCAAGAGGAGAATGGAGGAGAAGGAATTGCGGCATGGCCATCACCCCTGCGGGGTGATTTCTTGCTTTCTATCTCTCTGTATCTCTCTGTCTGTCTGGCGAGCGCATGTGCCCTCTAGCACAAACCTCTCAAAAAAAAAAAAAAAGTTGTACTCACAGGGACCAGCAGATGGTCTATTGGTTACGTTGCTAGATTTGAACTGCTAGACCACAGTTCGAGTCCCAGACCCAGCAGCTTAAAACTCACACTGGGTACACATGCATGCGTGCCCAAAATCCTGAGAGGAGACTGAAGGATGAAGGGATTGTGGTGTGGTCATTCCCTCTGGGGGGGTGATTTCTAGCTTTCTGTTTCTCTGTCTCTCTGTCTCTCTATCCAGCAAGGACACATGGCCTATAAACAAACAAACAAACAAAAGTGGAACTCACAGTAAATTCAAATGTATTCTATGTAATGACATTCATGAACAGAATGGCATTTCTTTCCCTGCCTTTTTGGTGGTAAGCACTAAATGAACAATGTTTTCTTCCAGTGTAGAGGAAACACAGGAAATTGGTTTAAACCCAAAACTTGCTTAAAGTATTTTCCACTTTATTAAGAATCTCAAGTGATAGTTTTATAACAGGTAACATGTTTGCTCTTCAGTAGTAAATGAGTCAGTCATTATTCTTAATGCATTGCAATAGTTACATCTATCTGATCGAAAATAAAATGCACTGCAATGACAATTGCTTTCTTATGGGGGCCAGCAAGTGGCATGGTGGTTAAAGTGCTGGACACTCCCACATGGCCAACCATGGTTTGAGTCCCAGACATGGTAGCTTGCTTTCTCTCTCTCTCTCTCTCTCTCTCTCTCTCTTTCTCTTTCTCTTTGTGTCTCTCTCTGGTCAAATTAAAATAACATGAATGAATGAAAATTGCTTTCTTAAATCATTCTAATATATAAATGCACAACTTGACTAAAGGCAGTTTGTATTTATTTATTTGTTTGTTTGTTTTCACAGAAGACATAATCCCATCAGAGAGTAGCTCTCTCTCTGACACTCCCACCTATGATGATTGTAAGTGACTTACCCTTTTCTGATTTAAATATGTTATGTATTATAAAATATTAAAATAACCTTTTTAAGTAAAGCCTACTAGTTATTGTTGGGAAAAAAAGTAGAATAAACTAATTAGACAAAGTGATTGGGAAATGAGGATTGAAATTAACCTATACTAGGGGCGACTTAGCATTAAAAACAGCACCATCCAAATCCTATGACTTCAGGAAACTGAAGTACCATGAGAGCATGCGTCGCTCAGCCTCTCAAGAAGGATGTAGGACTTGGGACCAGCAGGTGGTGTGGTGGTTAAGGTGCTACATTCCCACAAGACTGTGTTTGGAATCCCAGACTAGGTTTATTTCTTCTTCCCTCTTTCCACACTGGGAACTTTCTTTAATATTACTTTTTAAAAATTTAATTTAGCGGGAACCAGCAGTTAGCGTAATGGCTATGTCGCTGGACTCCCACGTAGTCAACCACGGTTCACGTCCCAGACCCGGTGGCTTAAAACTCACGCCAGGCACGTGTGCGTGCGTGCCCAAGATCCTGAGAGGAGAATGGAGGAGAAGGGATTGCGGCATTACCATCCCCCCTGGAGGGTGATTTCTCGCTTTCTGTCTCTCTGTCTCTCTCTGTCTGTCTGGCGAGCGCATGTGCCCTATAGTGGAAAAAAAAATTAATTTAGCTAGAAGGCATGTGCACCCACCAGAGAGAGGGAAAGTGAGAAAGCCCCTCCCATGGGGAGTGGTCATACAGCAATCCACTTTCCTCTATCCCTGTCTCCTGCTGTGGGATTTTGGGCATGTGCATACATACACTTGATATATTTTTGAAGCCACCAGGTCCAGGACTCTATCACACAGACAGCCACGTGGGACCTAGCCCCCTTAACCACCATGCCACCATTGGCCTTAATGTACCTTTTAAGAAGCTTTAGTATCCATTCCATGAGTGATTTCTTTACTCCAAGGGGCACATACTGAATTGGCAACAGCTGGTTCATGCCCCAGAAAAGTAATAAACTCAAGAGAAATTCAGCGATTTAAAAGAAACCATCGAATAAAAATTAAATTAATAAACAAAAGAAACTTAATAATTTCATTTTTCTAGTATAAGTTTAAAAATTAGTTTTTTGAAAGTTATATACTCCTAAAAATATCTTTGGAAAACACTTTGCTCACCAGATCTTTTATTTTTCGAAGTTTTGGCAAGGTATTTATTTTCTTATTTACTTACATACTTTTAAAATAATTTGTTCCTGGGACCAGCAGTTGGCATAACGGCTATGTTGCTGGACTCCCATGTAGTCAACCGCAGTTCAAGTCCCGGACATGGTGGCTTAAACTCACGCTGGGCATGTGTGCATGCATGCCCAAGATACCGAGAGGAGAATGGAGGAGAAGGGATTGTGACGTGACCATCCCCCCTCGGGGGTAATTTCTCGCTTTCTTTCTCTCTGTCTCTCTGGCAAGTGCACACACCCTATAGCAAAAACCTCTCCAAAAAATAATAATAATTTGTTCTCTTTTATTATAGCCAATGATGCCTTCACTCTTGCTGGACAGAGATCAAGTTCAGTACCTCATTCGCCAAGAATTCTTCCCCCCAAGTCTCTTGGTATTGAGAGAATCCATTTCAGAAAGTCGTCCATCAATGAGCAGTTTGTGGACACCAGACAGTCCAGGTAAGAGGCCACATCAGCAGCAAGATTCATGCCTCGCAGTGAGGGGATCTTTCCTCCAAAGGGGTTGACACATTTTTGCTTGTTCTTATTTAGTATTATCTTGTAAAGTTAAGGATCAAAATTAATCCTGTTCAGCAAGTAGTGGTGTTTCAAAGAGGATAAAAGGATTTGGCTGGGGCCAGCCCAAAGCATGATGGTTAAGGCGGCTGAGTCCCCCAGGACAGACTGTGCAGTCGAGTCCCACACCTGGTGGCTTGAAAATCACACCAGGTGCATAGTGCATGCCCCAACTCCTGACAGGCAAGTGGAGGACAAAGGATGGTGCAGTGATCATCCCCCCTGGGGAGTGTTTTTCCACTTTCCCTTTCTGTCTCTTGCAAGAAAAAGGGTTTGGCTGTTTCCTTGGTTTTAAGTCTATTTTATTTATGTAAAGTTACAAGGACATTAATGATTATATAGATATGGGCATAGTGTCTAAAGGTCGGTTTTATAACCAGTGCTTTAAAGAAACTGTCATTAAATACCACTCTCCCAAACCAAGTAGCAGGACTGTCTTCCGACCCTAAAGACAAATATGGGAATTAAGCTCATTTTCTTAATTTGTAAGATAGATAATGCAGCTCTTTTCTCATATTTCTTAGGTAAATATTATCAGGTCAATGAGACTAGGTTTTAAAAAGATGACAGGCTAGTGGTTCCCAGATTGTGGCTGCATGGATAAGTACTTGTTAAAAATTAGAATCAGAATGAAATTACCAACTGTTTACTTTGTCTAGTTAAAATGTTTAAACAAACAGTACCAAGAATCTATGGGAAAAAATGACACTTAAGGGGCCTGAATGTGGTGTTTAAGGCACTGGATTCCACATGGTTGACCATAGTTTAAGTCTTGGAACCACAGCTTGAAAATCACTCAGGGATATATGTGTGTGTGTGTGTGTGTGTGTGTGTGTGTGTGTGTGTGTGCCCAAAGTCTGAGAGGAGAATGGAGGAGAAGGGATGGTGGCATAGCCATACCCCTGGGTGTGATTTCTCACTTTCCCTCTCTCTGTCTCTCTCTGGTAAGCACATGCACCCTATGGCAAAAAATCTCACTCCCCTTGTAAAAAAGAATGACATTTAAATATCGAAAATACATTTACTGTCATCATCATCATCACCATGAGATGAATTAACTGTATTACGCACGTCCTCTGTGCCACCCGCTATTGAAGTTTCTGTTGCCTTAGTGAATTTAATCCTCATAACAACCTCGATAGTATTACTATTATCATTGCCCCTTGTCATCCCCAAGGACCAGAGACCACGGATAACTTCTCTGAGTTCATCAACTTGCGAATGTGGGAATCAGGATATGAATGTAGATAGACTTAAAACTAAGTATACTTCAAAGCTTGTGATGTGATTTTAGTCAACATGTTATACTGCATTTCAACAAAGATAAAACTTAGTCTCAGGGCTGGCAGGTGGCATGGTGGTTAAGGGTGCAGGACGTCCACATGACTGACCACGGTTCGATTCCTCCACCTGACAGCTTACTTTCTCACTTTCTCTCTCTCTCACTCTGTCCCTCTCTGGTAAAATTAAAATAAATAAATAAAAGTTAAATAAAATATTTTTAATTTTTAAAAGAAGATAAAACTTAGTTTCAAACAGAAGATTATTCAGATCGAATAAATTTCGATTTATGAAAATATGACCTGTACTTGGGACCAGCATTTGGCCTAATGGCTATGTCGCTGGACTCCCCTGTAGTCACCCTTGGTTCAAATCCTGGACCTGGTGGCTTAAACTCACACCAGGCACACGTGTGTGTATGCCCAAGATCCTGAAAGCAGAGTGGAGAAGAAAGGATCGTGGCGTGGCCATCCCCCCTAGAGGGTGATTCTCACTTTCTGTCTCTCTGTCTCTCTCTATCTTTCCGGCAAGCGCATGTGCCCTATAGCAAAAACTACTCAAAAAAAGAAGAAAAGAAAAAGAAAAGAAAATATCACCCGTAATTTGTTACATTTCTAATTTGTGAAAACCTTATCCTGTATCAGCTCTGGTTGATGGGTTAGCATTTAGTAAAAAGAGAAAGATTTATACAACCTGAAGAGAAACCAGAATATGGATTAGCATTTAGGGATATTTGCCTGAAACAGTGGAGATCAAGGGGGAGAGCTTTGCTAGCCAATTTAATTAAAAGTAAATAACATTTGAAATTCAGGTCCTAAGTCACGCTAGCTGTGTTTCCAGTGCCCAGTAGCCCCATGTGGCTAGTGGCTGTCACAGTGGATAGCACGCACATAAATCATTGCAGAAAGTCCTATTGGCTAGTGCCAGACAAGTGTGTTTCATTATATTAAACAAAGCTGTTGCAGCAAAATGAAGAATTATAGTGGGACCATTATCACAGAAATGGTTACACTCAGATCTCCAATAGGTTAAGATGGGTTTGCTCTTTCTTTCAAGAATTATTTATTATTACTATATTAATTTTCTACAGTGCATGTACACTCACCGGGGAAAGACAGAGACAGAAAAGGGACAATGAGAATGCAAGTTGCCAGGTCTGGGTCTAGAACTGTGGTTGGCCATGTGGGAGTCTACCACCTCAACCATCATGTCACCTACTGGCCCTTGAGTTTGCCCTTTGATCCACCAGTTTCACTTCTAGTAATATTTATTATTGAATTAGCTACAGCGTGCGTGTCACAGCACTGCCTATGCTAGTGACAAATCTAAAACCTGAATGTTCAATTTCTGGGTGGTTGTTTAAATTAATTACCGTGTACCAGTTTAGTAGAATGTTACAGAGTTGTTAAAATGGCATTGTGGACAAGTAATAGGCAAAATGAAGCATTAGGCGTAACTTTTTTTTTTTAAGTGAATTTTAGGAATATACAAGAAATCTCATTTGTTATTGTTAGGAAGGATAGATGCTTACAAGTATGAGGGATCTTCACAAATTCATTGAGGATGCATCTTAAGAAACAAAAAGTTTTTGTACCAGAGTAAACTTTTACTTTAATTCTATTTTTCCACAGACTTTTTTTTTTTTAATTAAGTTTTGCTGTAAGCATATGTGCTCACCAGAGAGAGGGAAGTAAGAAATCACCCCTCCTCACACACAAGGGATGGGCATGCTACAGTCCATGGGACTTTGGGCATGCATGCATGTGTATCTGGCATGATTTTTTAAGCTGCCAGGTCCAGGTTTCAAACCACACAGTTGGTTGTGTGGGATCCAGCAGCTTTAATCCCCACACTGCCTTCTGGCCCCTCCACAAACTTTTGAAGTCCCCTCTTATATCCACTTGGGAATAAAATCTGAAAATATTGAGTATTGACTGGCTGTATTTAGAGCATTGGATTATGGACATATGAATTTTTAATTTATATTTTAAATTTGCTATAGGGCACATACACTTTCCAGGGCGGGGACTGGGAGAAAGTATGACCGCCCCCCTCCCTCCAACAGGGATGACCAAGCCAGTGGCTTCTCTTCCATTCTCCTCTCAGGATTTTGTACACAGGTACACATGCCTGGCATGTTCGTCCAACCGTTGGGTTCAAGACTCAAATCACAGTCAGCCACGTGAGACCCAGCACCTTACCACATGTTTGCCTATCCCTAAGTAAAACTCTAATGAAAGTAAATTTGAATTCAAAGACTTAGCCTCAAAGTGTTGGAAAGTGGACAAAGTGATTTAAAGACATTGCTTCCTAGTCTAGGGCCAGTCCTGGGGCCCAGATCCTTCGTGTTGCCTGTTTTTATATAGCCCGTGAGCTAAGACAGGTTTATAATTGTGAAAGGTGGGAGGGAGGGGCAAGATCAAAAGCAGTAATATCTTGAGACGTAGGAAATGATATGCAAGTTGAATGTCAATGTCCTTAAGCCCAGGTTTATTGGAACGCAGCAAGGCCTGTGCACTCACATGCTGTCTGTGCACCACAAGGGCAGGCTGGAAGCTCTGCTGCAGAGGCCATCTGACACACAGCCCAAAATATTTACTGCTAGACCCTTCATAGACAGAGGGCTTGCTGATCCCTGCCCTAGTTGCTTTTCAGTCTGCTCTATTCAGTGTACTCATTTAAAATTTTTTTTATTTATTCATTTATTTTAATGTGACCAGAGAGAGAAGGAAACAGAGAGAGCGAAAATAAGAAAGCAAGTCATCAGGTCGGGGACTCGAACCATGGTCAGCCATGTGGGGGTGTCCAGTGCCTTAACCACCACGCCACCTGCTAGTCCCCTTTTTTCTTTTAATCTTTTTTTTTTCCTTTATGTTTCTGACTCAGGGAGTCAAACCCCATGTGCTTTCTCAAAAACTCATATAGGATGGGGGCCAGCAAGTGGAGTGGTTGTTAGGACACTGGACGCCCAAACAGTCCACCATGGTTTGAGTTCTGGATCCAGTGGCTTTAAACACACCAGGCATGTGTGTGTACATGCCCAAAATCCCAAGAAGAGAATAGAGGAGAAGGGATTGCAGTCTGATCATGCCACTACCACCCCCTCTAGGAGTAATTTCTCTCTCTCTCTCTCTCTCTCTCTCTCTCTCTCTCTCTCTCTCTCACTCACACAC